AGCTCGGGGTGGGGGTGGTGTAGGAAGAGGTTGATTACCGTAAACGAGAGGAGAGGTGGAGCCAGGCTAGCCTCAAGTGAGGTGCGTGCATTTGTGCACGTGTGTTAATTTTACAGCCTAGATAAATCTTTGGGAATAAATGCGTTTTTGGAAGCCCGGCACCCTCTTCCAGTTAAGCCGGTATTAATACTAGGCAGAAGGCTTGGCTTTTCATCAGTAAAATGGCGTAGCGACTGTGTAATAATTCGGGTCATAAAAGCCAACAGAGAGAGAGAGAGAAATTGTATGGTATTGATCGTGGCAGCCTTGATTTGTATCAATGTTAAGGGCTGCAATCATAATTTAATATTTGCTTCTGGAAGGCCGGCTGCTCTTTAGCCCTTAACAGTGTGCTTCCTTTATAGTTTGTGTGGCTGCCAAAGTAGAAGGTCAATGTGTCTGTTACAACTTCTAAATTTTTTTCCCCTAAACCCAGATTTTCATTGCTGGAATGTGTCCCTGCCTAATTATTATGAGAGAGGGGGAGTTTTGTTTCCATGAGAACCAGCTCCCAATCATTCAGCAGCACCTGGTGGAAATCAAATTGAGAGCCTTTTTAAAAATGTGGCTTAGGGTGTCTTAAGATTAAGGCTATTCCGAAAAGCGCCACCCGCCAATTTAAATGTTCTAAGGAATGCCTTCTGCTGCTAATGCAGAACGGGAATCTTCCTCGGGCAGTAATTACTTGCTTTCCAATAGAACTAATAGAATAGAAATGAGAGGAGAAGGAGTCTAAACCTTTAAAAATAATTAACCGCAATCTTGGCCAGTTATCTCTCAGAGCAGAGCAGAATATTTTCCTGGGAAACGTGAAGGACAAGAAGCTTCTCTGTCTGTTGCAGGTTTCAGCAAACAGATCTTCACTTTGAGGCTGTGGTTTGCAATCAAACGAACATAGAACCGTAGCCTAAAATACATCTGTACCCCACCTTTTAATTTAAAAGAGCTCAAAGTAGAATCAACATGTCAAGTAACGTACATGATGCTAGTTAAGAACACAGAAACACAAAGCAGGAAACCTATTCCTATAATCATTTATTTATTTATTTATTCCTTCATTTGTTTATTTGATTGTCTATCCCACATTTCTCTCCAAGAAGAGCACCCAAGGCAGCTGATGGTAATAAACTCCCAAGTAAAAACAAATGAGATGCTAGCAGAAAAGGCGAAAAAATGTCAATTAAAACAACAAGGATTTTTTTTAAAAAAAATGCAAACTCTTCAGCAATGTATTAAGTGTTGTCAAATGGAAACCACCTTATACGGGCCCTGATAGGGCTTTTGAGGTAAGTATGTTGTTTTAAGAGATTCCCAGTGTGGTGCAGTGGATAAAGTGATGAGCTAAGACTCAGGAGACCTGGGTTCAAATCCCTTGCTCTACCATGGAAACTCATGGGGTGGAACTGGTAAAACCACTCCTTAAGTATCCCACTTTTATCTTGAAAGCCCTCTTAGGGTGGCTATAAGTTGGTTTCAACTTGAGGCAGAGAATACACAACATGTTTAAGGAGTGATTTGACCAGTTCCACTCCGCAGTGAGTTTCCACACTGGGTATAGAGAATGGCGATATCATTGGCAGGATCCTGGCTTAAAGGTCAAAGCCTTATCTTAATTTAAAAAAAAAAGACCTTGGTCTACACTGCAGGTCAGGAGAGAAGAGACCACTCTTAGCCCCCACGCCCAGGTGGGAAGTTCCAGAGCCTAGGAGCAGACCTCAAAAAAGGCTGTTGTTTCTGCTTCCACAAATAAATAAACAAAATAATGTCTCTGTATATATGAACTTGCCGGTTAAATAGTTCACTGAGTGGGATGGATTACCGGGCAACATAGCGATGAGGGATGATGTGCAACGTAAGTACAAACATAGACGTTTATCTCTCTCTCTCTCTCACTCACACACAGACACACACACACACAGATACGTGTGTGTGTGTGTGTGTATGTAGCATAGTTTTCATTTATAATGTATTTTAAAATACTTTATTTCCATGCAACATATATGATCACCTAACAGCCAAAATTTATCACTGTAACCCAGTGTAGGATGAGGGATGATGTGCAACGTAAGTATAAACATAAACGTTTCTCTCTCTCTCTCTCTCTCTCTCTCTCACACACACACACACACACACACACACACACACACACACACACACACAGAGAGAGAGAGAGAGAGAGAGGGGTGTGTGTGTGTATGTAGCATAGTTTTCATTTATAATGTATTTTAAAATACTTTATTTCCATGCAACATATATGTTCACCTAACAGCCAAATTTATCACTGTAACCTAGTGCAACTTTTGGAAATGAAATGCCCCTAATTAAGACATCAGCTTAGGCATTACCTGTTGCGTCTTGGACCATGTGTCTCGGTGCACAACGAGTAATGCCTGCAGTCGGATCTTCAGAGTGCTTTGCTTCCAAAAGTTCTAGCATTTGTGTTAAGCTTGTAAAAGTAACTAACAGGATTTTGGCTACAATGTTTATAAAAGTAACCAACAGGGTTGTAAATGTTTGTAAAAGTAACCAACAGGATTGTAAACACTTTTAAAAAGTAACTCACAAGATTTTTGTTATAATGCTTGTAAAAAGAAACAACCGGATTGTGAACACTTGTAAAAGTAGGTTATAATGTTTTCAGATAATACTCCTGATATATATAGACCAATTGATATAAAAAATTTATAAATACATAACATATAAACATATATGTATAATTATGTTTATAACGTCTGTATGTATAATGGAAATGTTTCTTTTTGTTACATGTGCTTAAATACCCTGGACTTGAATGGCACTCCCCCGCTCTCCTTTTCCGTCACACCCCTTCTCCCACCCCGAGTGTTCTTCCACACAGAGCATCCTCACTCTTTGCCACAGATCAAAGGCTACAAAATGGCTCCTGGAAATGTCAATTTGCAGATCTCGGAATCGCTCTCACTGCTACTCTGTTCAAGCCATTGTTTTGTCCTGCAGCCTGATCTGTAGTTTCATTGTCTTGTTACGACAACGTGTGTGCATGTGTGCAGACAGCCCATCGCATGCACACGCACGGACATACACAACCCTTAGATCTGTAATAGTGACGTGCAAACCCTGTAAAGTATTTGCAAATATACCATTTAAAAACATGAGCAGTGTCACTGAAATGCAGTTCTTTTTTATCCATTCCAGGTTGGCAACGTTGTACAAGTCACCCACTCAGAAGGAATCGACTGTGCTGTTTTCCATCACAGTAAGCATGCTTTGAGCCCGGAATAGAGAAGTAGAATTGGGTATTCAGAAGCCTGTGGGCTTTTGCTAATACTTCACATACTACTTACTCCATCTTGGAATAGCCATGGATCTTTATTATCTGTCTGTCTGCCTATCTACCTATCTATCTACATATTTAATGCATTAAGTTACTGTTAGCTAGCAAAGTTGCCAGAGGAGCAAATAAGAAGGATAATTCGAGTGTCCTAGCTTACAGCTAAACACACAAGGAAGAGGAAAGAGATTTTAAGTTATGTGCTTATATAATGCACAGAGGGAGTGAATGTTCAAGATGAGACAGCGATAGAAACCTTTATGTTGCGCCATTTAAGCATCACACCACGCCAGGAGGGTGCTAATCACAGCTCTGACTAAGAGAACCAAAGACTTTGCAGGCCTTAATTCAGCCCCACCACCCTCCTCAGTCTGGCCCACAGTTTTCCTGGCAGGCCTTTAGAGGATGTGAGGTAGGGGTGAGCCAAGACAAAGAGCTGGCCAGGGACCCCTTATCTTCCTGCATCCTCACCTTCTCTACACAGGAAGGAGGAGCACAAAGCCAAGTTTATTCAGCTATTTCTTAGAGAAACAACTTAATCCAGCCTTGCGTTCCGTACACTGGAGAACTTGAGGGCTTTGCTTTGTTCAGCCTGCCTCCCCCCCCACTTTTCCTCTCAGCAAACTGTGATTTAGAGCGACTTGTCTGCTTTAATTTTCCATCTGCTCAGCTCTAATTTCTACAGGGCAGCAGCTGCACAGAAGGGCGAGAGCTTCAGCTCTGTGTTAATTCAGGCATCACACCAAGCTAAACCACAGACGGTACCACAAACCACATGCATGCAAGGGCCTTATAAACCAGGAATTTCTTATAGTGGCTTGGTAGGTTTAATAGCAAACCACATTGATCAGTTCAGAATATTTACCAATAAACTTGCATTCTCCCTTTCCTCTACAAGTATGTCCCTAACAGAATTCTGTTATGCAACTAACAATGTCTCTGAAAACAAACGTATATCCAACCCATTTAAAAAAACCCTAAAAGCAGATAATGAAGACTTCAGAATCACTAAGGAGCAAACCTAAGAAGACTTTAAAAGGACAGTTGGAAAGGAGGAGCAGTCTGAAGAAATACTATATCAAACTGCGGTTAATGACCCAGTGTAGCATACTAAATAAAAAGTCAGACTAGGACTCGAGAGATCTGCGTTCAAATCCACACTCAGACGTGGGAATTGGAGGGTAGAATTGGTGAAGCCATTCCTTAAATATCACACATACCTTGAAAATCGTATTAGGGTTGGCATAAGTCAGATGCAACGTGATGGCAGATAACAATAGTTAACTGTGGTTTGGACCTAGGGGTTGATTGATGGATTGATTATTGATTCAGTGGGTTGGGTATTTGGCTGCAGAGCCAGAGGTTGGGAGCTCGATTCCCCCCTGTGCCTTCTGGGAAAAGCGCCAGCCTGTGTGACCTTGGGCAAGCTGCCCAGTCCTGGAACGCTTAAATAAGGAAAATGTGTTAAACTTGAGCGCACTGTAGCTAGAAAACCCTGGAAAAGGTCTCCATAAATCAGTACTGACTTGATGGCACATAATTACCATTATTGATTGAACCCAGCTCTCCAAATCACTCTGTATCCTGACACAGCAAATCTATGAACCTATTTATATATATATATATAATACAACAGACCAAAGGCTTGTTATATTCGGTAAAATCCAAGTAACCGTGTGGTGTAATGGCAGAATGTTGAACCAGGAGGTCTGGTTCCTAGTTTCCATTTAATCATGAAACTCACTGGGTAGCCTTGGTCTAGTTGTTCTCCCTTTGCCTGACCCTGCCTGGCGGGGTTGATAATGAGGGGGGGAAAGGGGGGAAAGAAGCATTTTACATAGCTATGGGTTATTTGAGAAAATGCAACTAATAAAATAATAAACAATGTGTGGCTCATCTACATACTCTTTCTATCACCGACTCAAAATGACATTGGTGAGTTCCACGGAGCCAACTGCATGCAAAGCCACATCTGGTTTTCTTGAGCAACAGTGGCTCTTAAGGTCAGATGAGTTCAGCCCAGAGAGTTGAGAAGAACTATCATATATTCCATTACCCTCTGAACTTACATACCCAGATCTTCCACCCTTCACTCCAAAAAAAGTACAACCTTTTTAAACTCTAGGGCAGCAGTTCCCAGCCTTGGGTCTCCAGATGTTCTTGGACTGTAACTCCCAGAAATCCCGGCCAGCAAGGCTAAGTGGTCAAGTCTTCTGGGAGTTGAAGTCCAAGAACATCTGGGCACCCAAGATTGGGAACCATGGCTGTAGGATGAACCTGAACTGAATATTGAATGAATCGAGTCCCAAACCAAGGAAGGGAAGTCGTGATACTGATAAGTTCAATCTTAGAAGCCTTCCAGGTCTCAGAAGCTTTTTCCCCACAGGAGCCTGAACTGCTCTAGAATAAATCCAGAGATAAATATTGTGATAGCAGCACATTGTGGACAGCTTCTGCAGAAGAAGGAGCCAAGCAAAAACCAATTTTAAACAGCTCTTCAAATGTCAAGAGTAAAGCTTACCACACGGCCGTATGTGCTCTCAGTAACATGTTGCCATAGTATTTCTTACGGATTTCTAAACCTGCCTTTTTTTAAAGGACTGGGGTGGGGTGGGGGTTGAGGGTTGAGATGCAGGCCCTTCCTCTTGGCACAAGGACTACTGGGCAGATTTTCATTTCTAGCGTCAGGTGAGAAAGGACAGTCCAGCACTCTGAAAGAGGACGCCCGAGAGGTGGCTTTAAGGCCTGTCGGAAACGGCGGCTCCAGTCGCTGTCGCATTGTCGTTGCAGTGTAAGGTTGAGACTTGACTTGGGAGATTAAGGGTCTGGTTCCCCTGGAGCCACAGTATTCAGAGGATGGCACTGGGCCTGCCATTCCCACCCTTCTCCCTCATTCCGTTAACTGGGTCATCATGGCAGATTAGGAAGAACCAGAATCTGGGCTCCTTCAAGCCCTGCAAGAAAAGACTGAAAGAACTGGCCTTCAGAAAAGAAGACTGAGGAGGGAGAGAGAGGAGAGCACTTTTCAAATCCTTGAAAGGTAATCCTACAGAGGAGGGGCAGGATCTGTTCTCAATCATCCCAGAGTGCCGGACACGTCATAATGGGCTCAAGCGACAGGGAGACAGATTTCGGATGAATGTCAGGAAAAACTTCCTAGCTGTTAGAGCAGTACAACAGTGGAATCAATTTCCCGGAGAGGTGGTGAGGGCTCCAAAGCTGGAGGCCTTCAAGGGAAAACCGGACCACCCTCTGTGAGATCTGCCTTCCTTTCGATCCCTGCACTGAGCAGGGGGTTTGGGTTCGGTGGGCTTACAGGCCCCTTCCAACTCAACTATTCTGTGACTGATGATCTATACCCTATAGATTCTATAGGGTCCTTTCCTTCACTTTTAAGTTTGTCATTATCATCTCAGAGTACCCCTCCCCCAAATTTTTGAAGGGTTTGTGCCTCTGGGTTTTTTAAAAAAATGTTTTTGCCACATCAACCTGGAAAGAAGCTTAACCAGTATCCTATTGACAGCCCTAGCCAGCTTTTAAACAGGATCATTCCTTTGTGGTATTTTTTAAAAGCCTTTTACAAAAATAATTCCATGAATACTCTGTGTTGTGAAAAATATGCAGGCCCTGTTAGATTAGGAAGGACTTCCAAGCTTGTTAATGCTGATTGCCCTTGCACTTGTTTGTGGATTCATTTATAGAACCTTAAATGAATGCTAGAAGAGGGCCATCTGTCTTTCCCGGAAAACATATAAAAAAGCTTCTAGAAGCTTTCTGAATATTTCCTCCCTTGCTTTAGTGGCTCTTCGTATTTCTTCCTCCCCTCTCCCTCCCTTTTTTTTAATTTGCTGCTTAGCCAACTAGATCTGTCACACAAAATGAATGCTTCACCTAACGCATCTATGGAAAGGGTCACCCAGATCAGAGCAGACTTCTGTGTAGATCAACCATTTTGAGGGAAAAGGTCTGTTTTGAACTCATCTTCAGGATTCCTTTTGTCTCAAAAAAAAATGATCCAAACAGATTTTCGATTTGGTTTGCGAAAAACATTGAGTTTAAGTGCCCTCTCCACCCCAAGGCCCAATAAAATATTCCAATTTGATCTAAAGCCCTATGTATTTGATGGCACCGTTTCTTCTTTTACAACACAAGGGTCATAATGCTGACCTTGCTTAACCTTTTCTTGCCTTAAGAGACTCTTGAACAAGGGGCGTATTATTATTTCATGCCAAACATTAAAAAAAAAATCCTGCTAAGTGCTAAGTTCTGTTCTAGGAATTTCAGGACAAAATATTTAAGCTGATGGAAGTTGCTCCATAGCTTGACCTAACAAAGCCCTATGATGGCAAGTTGCTAAATCTGTAAGATGTCCACTGATTTTTGCTCTTCCTTCTTCTTGTTGGAAGCTCTCTGGGATCTGATTTGTCTTTATATGTTGTCATTTACTGATTTTGCTCTCCTCTCCTTCATTCTTAGAATTGTAGAATAATGGTGTTGGAAGGGGCCCTGAAGGCCATTGAATCCAACCCCTTGCTCAAGGCAGGAATCCAAATCAAAACAGATCTGACAGAGGGCTGCCCATTTTTCTCTTGAACACCTCCAGCATTAGAGCGCTCTCCGTCTCTGGCGATGACTGGTTCCATTGTCACCCATTCGTGCTCCTAGTTCTGTAGGCTATAAACAGTTTCTTTGTTTGTTTGTGAGGCAGCTCACAGCAAATAAAACAATGGATTTAGAAATCCAGTATAAGTATCACAATCTAAAAATTATTAAACACATAATAAGATTTAAAAAAAACATTTTAAAAACAATTAAACATCTCTTAAGTTCAAAACCAGCATTCCTAAAACATCTGACTGCTTAAAAGCCTGCCTAAAGGGGAAGTACTTTTATAAGAATGATCTAGATAAGGCTTTTCACTGTAGTAATTTCTGACAAACTGCATTTTTGAAGTTATATCAGTGTCTAGGTGACACTCTCTTTCTCTGCTTGAACAGTTTTCAAAAGGGTGTTAAGTCTGCTGTGACAACCCAAGACTCTTTCGGGGCCTACACATTTATTATTGTGTGGGTTTCATGGCCTTCATCTGATGTAAGATATTTTGTCTTTGTTTCTCACTCATACTTTTCCACTCTTCCTTCCATCTTTTAAAATGCATGTCTTGGCACAGAAAATCCATTAAGGCGGGAAAGATGGAACTGCCGCGGAATGTGTTTTGATGGCTGATGCAGGCAACCATCTGTCCCAAGGCATCCTAAATCTGCATTGCATGCTAGGTTTTTTTTTTATTTCAGCTCTTCTCCTTGCCAATTACGAATAGTGGCCTGGCGATGTCATTTCTCAGGCAAACTAGAAGTCTTGATAATTTCTTGAAGTTCCTTGACTCTTGATGACTAGGAGATGACTCAGCCACCTCTGGATGGAGTCAGCTCTTCTGGCATATAGGCAGGTATTTCTTTAGACGGTGCAAATGAATTATTTGGGGACATCTGCCAAATTAAAAAGAGGGAAGATTGCATTATTTTTTTTTGGATACAGACTGAAAAAGAAGCTGTGAGAGAGCTGGGACTTGCAAGATGGTTCTAACCTAGAAAATACTGGTTCTAGGCTATAAAGCCTTAAATGGCTTGGGTCCAAGCTTATCTGGGTGTTCATCGGGAGAGGCCTCTATCTCGGTTTCGCCACCTTCACAGGTGGGTTTGGTGGGGACGCAGGAGAGGGTCTTCTCTGTGGCTGCTCCTAGACTCCGGAACTCCCTGCCACTGGAGGCCAGGCTGGCCCCATCTTTGCTCTCCTTCTGCAACCAGGCCAAGACCTTTCCCTTCAGGCAGGCTTTCCCTGAGTGACTGGCAGCTTAAGTGGGGTCCTTAAAATGGATGTGTTTTGATGTTGCGTCTTTTTACCATCCTTAAAATGGATGTTTGTGAATCTACTGCCTTGAATGTGTTTTGATGTTGCGTCTTTTTACCATCTTTTACTGTGGTATTTGAACCTTTCTAATATTTGTATGTTTTTAGGTTTCAACATTGTCCTTTTAATGATGGGACATTTTTAAAGAGAAAGTCAGGGGTAGAAATGTTTTAAATAAATAATAAATAAATACAAGCTTGAAAGCATTGGGGAATTCAGGCTGAGAAGGGGAGTGAAAGACAGTCCGTATTGGGGGGGGGGTAGCAGATCATGCCACTGGTCACACAGTACACTGTGCCTACCATCGTACCAGCAGCCAAGATCTAAGCATCGTTGGCATTGGTGCCCCTGCCTCGTGGGGGTTTTTCGCACTTCGATTCCCATAACAGCCGTAACGCTTTCTGTTCTGCTCTGCATTCTTGGCTTAAGGAGCACATTTTGGCCGAGGTTTGGTTATGCCGTGAAGGGATGCAGTGGTCGGTAGCTACATTACAAAATGTAGCATTACATTTTTACATTGGCCCAGTTCATATTCCTGACGCTTAACAACTACAAATAGCAGAGGCCGCGTGTCTGCTTTTCACCTTTCCGGCTTAGCAAGGTGGCTTAGCCCTGCACGACGAGACAGCAGGTAATACGCCGCACAAGACGTCCCGGGTATCAGCCAAGTAATATGTGTGTGGTGGTTTTTTTGTTACAGATCAAGTTGGTCTTGCTTTCAAGACTTGCTGGCATTTTGTAAAAGTCACACTCTTGATAGGAATTCTACCTGATTTTTCACACTCCGCCGCCGTCTGGAAATGTCATCTTTCTTCAAAAAAAAAGCCTTGTTGCTTCCTTGAGCAATCAGTAGCCACCTGCTGTTCACCTTTTTTGAGAGCAGGATGGACAGCAGAATTATTTATAATCTGAAGATAATTCAGAGAAGGGAAACAGGACCACTTGATGGACTGCTGAGACGTTTACTGCCTTGGCCTCTCCCTGAGCTGTTATTTGTCTGGTGTCCTGCCTTCGAGCTTTAGGAGAGATAGGAAGCAGAGTTAGTCTACTGGGTTTCCAGAGGGACTAGCTCCTTAAGGCACGAGTTTTTGGGAAGCAATCCGAAGGGAGGTGAGTGAGATGGTGGCATGCAAGCATGCTGGAAAAGAATGTAGTCCTTCGTATGGTTGGGAGTAGCATAGATCATCATCATCATCTTAGAACTGCTGAGCTGGAAGGGACCCTGTGGGTCATCAAGTCCAGCCCCTATTATGGAGGCACAGCACGGGAATCGAACTCTCAACCTTTGGGCTCCCCAGCCAGAGACCTAAAACACAGCTACTCGTCTCTAGCAGTTCATCCAACAAAGATGGATTAACAAACGTCATAAGGATGTGCTGGGATATAATAAAAAGCATGCACACTAGTTTATTTTGCAAACAAATCAGAGAGGTTTGTGCAGGATGTGGGAGCAGATAGAAAACAAAGTGAAGAAACAGTTGGTTTTTGAAACAGAATCCCAAGAGTACAGTATGTGATACCTTTTATTGGACCAGTAATAATAAAACAAATAGCAAGCTTTTGTTTTATTATTATTTTTAGTGGTCCAATAAAAGATACCATCTGCTCCTGTATTTGTTTCATCTTCAGGACCACGCTGGCCCTTGGTTTCTTTTTTTGAGCAGGCTGTCCCAGAACCCCTAAGTTGACACGGCCAGTGGAAATTCTAAGAATGTTTGCCCTCAAAAGTAACCTTCCAAATTAAGTTATGGTAAGGAACAAACAGTGTACAGCCAACGCATAGATTATAGCAATTAATTTTGGCAGCAGAATGGTCAGTGGAATGACATTGCATGACATGAGCAGAACAGGACCATCATTGCATGACCTAAGCAGAACTACATCAGTCATGCTACTTCTTTCCTCTGGTAACCTAATCTTAACTCTTGGGATCTTGGTTCTGCTAGTGTTCTGACATTTTTATTCATTGCATGTTTTGACCGTTTTATAACCGTAATTTTATTGGGTTTCTCCCCCCCAGTCTCATGGATTCCGAGATGTTCAGCTTCCTCCACCCGATCCAACTGGGACAGGAAGTGAAACGAATCCTCGTAAAAGGCCTCGGACAGAGCAGGTAGAAGGACAGTAATTTGGGTTAATAAATGTAAAGATGCTTGCACTGCAGATGGACTTCTGAGTTCACAAAAGAGATTGTTCAACTATGAATTAAAAGTTCATTTTTCCCCTTAATCCAGGCGATGGTAATTTTAACTCTTTCATTCTTTTGTCATTCCTCCTCTTTTTCCCCCCCAATAAAAGTAAAATTTTGTGTATTGCATTTGCAGAGTTTCTCAGGATGAAAAAGGGGAAATCGAGGTACATACTGGGTCCTTTGAAAGGAGAAAGGCAGGATAGAAGTAGCTTAGCTAAATAAATAATAAATAAAGAATACAGGCGCCCAGGGTTCAAAGAATAGAAACCACAGTAGATTTTTCTATAAGACGGCCACAATTCCCAACATCAGGAGTGCCATTTTCCCACCCCTTGAAGAGGTGTTGTGTTCCGTGCCATCAAGGCAGATCCAGCTTAATCATATAACAACCCTAAAAGGGCTTTCAAGGTAAGTATGATATTTAAAGAGTGGTTTTACCAGTTCCACACACCCCCATGAGTTTCCATGGCTGAGCAGGGATTCGAACCCTGTTCTCCAGAGTCTTAATCCATCATTCTCTCCACTACACCACACTGGGAGTCCACAAGAAGTAATAGTAATGATCTGTAACTGGTAATAAAGATGGCTCTGACCTCAATTTCAAAGGTAACTTAACAGATAGTTACATAATTACTTTTTGGTGTAATAATTTTTCCCCAGTTACTATTAAAAGCTACTTTTTGTAAAAGGTTTTTTTTTCTTTTTTTTCTTTTTTACTATTAAAAGCTACTTTTTGTGAAACTTTTTTTTTTTGACAGGAAGTTCTCAAGCTCTGTGCCCTTACGGATCCTAAGGGAAATACTGTTTTCTTTGTTTTTGCTGTTTTGAAATTGCAATAGCAGAATTGGCCACTAGAGGGAAAAAGGGAGCATTGCCTGTATTTTCCTGACATGTTGTTAATCAGCACTCACTGTGCCAGTATTGACAGCAAAGCACTAATAAGGCACAACGGAGCAAATTATTTCTATGAACACATAATAAACAGATAATTATAACAGCCATCTGACTGCCACAGGGTAATGAATAATGCAGTCAGTTCCTTTCAGAAATAATGTTTCACGCTCTGGCCTAGAACTTTGCATTCTCTTTTAGGTCTAAATGGAAGTAAACAGTGAATGGGGGCAGAAAATGAATAATCTGCTCTTTCCACCTGTAGAAATGTGTTTATAAATAAAATGAATATATGTACGTTTAACGGGAACGACTACAGATGACTGCCAACATGCGCAGTCTGCTCTCACAATTTTATTTCTTTGTCTCATTTCAGGCGTGCCACTTATTATTTGTTACTCCATATTGTGTAAGTTCTCTCAGGAAGACAAGGTGGCGTATGAAAAGCTTTTCCCCACTTCTGTTGTCACAAAAACCCAGTGAGGTATTTTTGATGATGAGACATAGTGACTGGCCCAAACTCTCCCAGGAAATTTCT